TTTAATATCCAATCAGTAAGAACAAGTGTTGCAACTATTCAGGATTCCCTCTTGTTAATTTTTCTATCAAGGGCGGTACTTAACACATTTAATATCCAATCAGTAAGAAGTGTTAACCCTCATATTACTGACTTCTTTTTATATCATTCACTACTGGTGGGTGCAGATTCTGTATTGTATTGAGTAATTGTTTGTTTTTACCTGTTAAAACACTTCCAGCTTCTTTTTTGGTTCTTCTGTGTCAGATCACACTTTTCTATTTAAAATACGTAGAAGACCAAGTAGTAGTTATCAGGATTATCTGCATTATTGACATTTTTTTATTTTTAGTAACTCTGTAACAAATAAGTCGTGGATCCACCAGTAGTTCTGTACGTAACTGGTATAGAGTGCTGATGCACCCCGTGTTTAATTTTATTGTTAACCTCTCTGGATCTCACGGGTCTTGTTTGTGAAAGTAATGATGTCTGACATTGATACATTATGCTGGATTTCTGGCAATACAGACTGGCCAAGTGTTTATTTTTAAAATATAACTATCAGTGAAAGTGAAACACAATGTACAAGAGATATATTTTGCCCTTGTAGTTTTGTATGTTTAATCAAGCTTTTACCTGTCAAACTTCGCAGCATGCAGGTGTTTCTACAACATATTTTAATTAGATAGCTTTGAATGCAGAAACATGAATTAAATCCCATTTAGATTCTTTTTTTTTTTCGTTACTTAGAAAAACGTTTGAAAATGTTTAAAATAGTGTATCATTTTTGACAAATCTTTGTTAAAATGCAACGTGGGCATTTTTAAAAAAAATCGTAGTGGATTAATTTCAGCTCTAACTCTTTCACTGTCACACTTATAACTATCCCAGTGTCAGGTTTATTGTTAGATACACACAGAAACATATGTGGTGTTATATAATTACTTGTGTCTTGCTTATTATTGTCAACACCAATTTTTGTAGAGATAGTTACCTGAAATATTTCACCGAAGAATATGTTCTCAGATCATAAGAAGTATTAAGTAATTAATTATTCATGCATTCTTTTCCAAAATATGTAAATTGGTATGCAACATTTTTAAGAAGTAGTTATAAATTATTGATTTTGTGGCACACGAACTTCTCAGAACATTTACTTAGTACCTCATTTTTCATGGCTAAAACAGTTACGTAGTGCATCTCACATATTATCTCATGGTATTGAAATAGTTAAAGACCAAATGGCATAGCCTTTGGAGTTTTGTTTTAAAAAACTTCATGAAGACTAAGGATTTCAGTTTATTTGTGAAAACATCTGTTGCCAATTCTCAGTTTAATTTTTTTTCTTTTTTAATTATAAAGATACAAAAATCAGAGTTTCTCACTTCAGCAATTCTCGTTTCATTTAATAAAACATTGTTCTTGAAATATTGCAACACAAGTTAATAGGTGGAGTCTGAAATCTAAAGGAACAGTCTAAAGGTTCTGTTTGATTATAAAGTAGCATTTATTACCTGATTTATTCTTAGGAATGAGTAACTGGTTCACTAACTGAATTCAATTAAAAATCAGTGTAAAATTGTAACTGATATGCTGCCTGTCATCTCTTCTTAAGAAGCCCATTTTTTTTTTTAACTTGGCATAACTGAGCTTGTAGCATTTTTACTGGCCTAGACAACAGTGTCTCTTCATTTTGATGAACTTTGACCTTAACTGAGTAAGGATTACTATTATATTGCTAAACATGATAATTTCTGTTCCTAATTATCCCTAACTAGCAGTTGCTTTTCCAAGTGATCACTCTGTGTTGAGAGAGTTTTTTTTATTTAAAAATAATTAAGAGTTCACCTGTTAAATTCGTAATTGGCTAATTGTTCATTTCTTTTAAGCTTTAAAGAGAAGTTTGTATTAGCAATCAATGTGTTCAAGGAAAAACAAAGTTTGGTAATAAAAAGTATTATAACACTTACGTTGAACAACATTATTTAGTTAAAAATGGACACAGATTTTCGAAACAGTTTTGTATTGTATTAAATTTACCATTCTTTTTTTTTTTGTTCTTTTTTTTTTTCAAACTTTTTAGGGATGTTAAGCTGGAAAGACAGTTACCTGGTATTGTGTTTACAAAACCCGATACAAGGAACAAGACAAGAATGTGTGTTTCCAGTTCGTTTGATCAGCCACATCAAAAAGGTTTACTCTACTTGTCTTCACAACAACTAGAAGCCATCCACAGTTACAAAAAAGAATATGAACATTATCGTAGAAAGAAATCCTTTTCACTTAAAGGGGTCCATAATTCTGTGAAACTAGTAGAAGAGTAAGCCATTGTTTTAGTGTCATGAGTAATGTTTTGAAAGTTAAACACTATGTAAAACCTTTTAAACTATTGAAAATACTCTATGATTTCAAACTTCTTTTTTAAGTACTGTGTACAGTTTTTTTTTTCTAAAGTAATTACTCTGTAGTTATATTTTCATGTGATCAGTACAACTGGATCAAATACTAATGAAATTCTCTGCATCATACTTTTTTAGATGTAACTTTTGATTTTAGTCTGTGTCTTGATTAGAAGTTATATATAGTTAAGTGTATTAAGCAAACTCGAAGTGACCAAAACACTGAATTCTCTTTAAGAGACGTGTTGTGTCCAGCAGATCTGTACAGTTCATCAAGTCTGAAGTTTACATTTTTGTTGTTAAATTGTTCACTAAAAAACAGGTGATATTTCTGAATATTACAATCAGGATGTAAGAATGTAGATCAACATTTCTATGAGACTAATAAACACACCAAACTTCTCACATTTACAAATGTTTCATTAGAACACAACACATAAAAGGCTCTTGAGTCAGCAGCCTGCCATCTGTTTTGGGAAATAGTTAAATAACTATGTGAAAGAAAACTTACTCATGCTGTATAATGGATAAGAGTCATACATTCACATTTTTTCAGAGTTTATAAGTGAAATACTTATCTGATATGCAGATTACACAGGCATGGTCAAAGTTTGATATTTAATTTCAGTAATGGACCTCGTGTAGTGGATGTTCTACATCATAATCAGAGCAAATGTATAATATTTCATAACTATACACGTGAAAAACTACCTTGTAGAGCAATAGAATATGAAAAATATAACCATTAACTTGTCAAAACATAGTAACAACATGATTCTTGTACATTTCCAGTAATTTTTTATATATTACGTGGATCATCACAAATTTGAAAGTTCTTTTTTGAGCTGTGTGATCAACATAATCTTGACCAATCTTGTGATTTTTCAAAAATACATGGTTAATACTTTGTAGTACTACTACTGTAGTACTGAGACTTCTTTGTAGCAGTATTCATGTGGTACCAAGTAAGAGTACCACTGTTGGACTACATAACATTATTCAGGTGGTACCAACTGAGACTACCACTGTTGGAACAGTATTCAAGTGGTACCAAGTAAGACTGCCTTTGTTGGACTACATAACAGTATTCAGGTGGTACCAACTGAGACTACCAGTGTTGGACTACATAACAGTATTCAGGTGGTACCAAGTGAGACTACCAGTGTTGGACTACATAACAGTATTCAGGTGGTACCAACTGAGACTACCAGTGTTGGACTACATAACAGTATTCAAGTGGTACCAAGTAAGACTGCCTTCGTTGGACTACATAACAGTATTGAAGTGGTACCAAGTAAGACTACCACTGTTGGACTACATAACAGTATTCAGGTGGTACCAAGTAAGACTACCTTTGTTGGACTACATAACAGTATTGAAGTGGTACCAAGTAAGACTACCTTTGTTGGACTACATAACAGTATTGAAGTGGTACCAAGTAAGACTACCACTGCTGGACTACATAACAGTATTCAGGTGGTACCAACTGAGACTACCACTGCTGGACTACATAACAGTATTCAGGTGGTACCAACTGATACTACCTTTGTTGGACTACATAACAGTATTCATATGGTACCAACTGAGACTACCAGTGTTGGACTACATAACAGTATTCATATGGTACCAACTGATACTACCACTGCTGTACTACATAACAGTATTCAGGTGGTACCAACTGATACTACCTTTGTTGGACTAGATAACAGTATTCATATGGTACCAACTGAGACTACCTGTGTTGGATTACATAACAGTATTCAGGTGGTACCAACTGAGACTACCAGTGTTGGACTACATAACAGTATTCATGTTGTACCAACTGAGACTACCACTGTTGGACTACATAACAGTATTCATGGAATACTAAGGAAGACTACACATGTACGACTATGTAAAAGAAACTACTGTACATTATAGTAATGTTATTAAATAGAAATCACTCTTAAGGTCTACTTTTTGGTTGTAATTGTTTTGGGCATCTTTTGCAGTTAGATGAAAAGCATCATCAGAATATGAAAAGTATAACCAGTTTGTTGTCATAGAATACAATGTAGCAACAACACAACCATCTCATGTTTAGATCTGTTTCCAGTAATTGTTTGCATTGCATGGAACAACAGGAATATGGTTCAATTTGGAAGTTTTTCTTGAGCTATATTATCAACTTATGTTGACCAATCTTATGATTTGTCAATAGATTTGAGGCTAACTTGTGTTGAAAACATACTGGAAATTTGAAATCTAATTATAGTAAATTTTGTATTACAGAACTGCAGAGACACTTTTGAATGAGTTGATGAACGATGTGGTTGAAGAACTTGAGAACCTTCCAGATACTTGTGTCTCCCAACTGTATTTACAAGAATTTGTCAGCAACAAAACAGGTAAAGCTATGAGAACATTGAACTTGGAAAAGTATCTAGCTAATGTGTTAGTACAAACCAGTAAGGTTAGCCTCTTTTTGGAAAGTTTTAAAACAAAACCTAGTTGGAAAGAGCTTAGAAAGATTGTTTCTTCAACTTCCCTGCACTCAGATATTGTTTTTAAATTCTTGTTAGTCTTTCGACTTCAAATTACAGTTGTTTTATTCTATTCAATTGCTTGTATGTCTGAAAGTTTCAAGAAATTTTATTTAAAAACAACATCTTAGTGAAAATAATTAGGCTTAGCTCAGTTATAGTTTTAATGTGCAAAAAAAAAAGATCATGAGGGTTACATGTTGTTTATGATCCATACCTAATTATCACTAGATGTGTTTATTATTTGTGACTACAGGATTAGTGCTTAAGCAGGTACTAAGTATAACAGTAATATCATACGTTGTTTAAAGAAAGTTAACAGTTGATTCTTTGAAAATTATAACTACATAAAACAAGATAATATATGCATCAAAAGAAGGAAAAGGTATTGATCATGATTGATCATTTCACTACATTTAGTGTTAAGGTTGATAAAATAATAAACCTTTTACTTTTGATATGTACTTAGGAGGTCCTAGAAGTTAATCAAACGTCAATACTATAAGATGAAAATAGAATCTTTACTCTTAACATGAAAATTGCCTTGCACTCAGACTAGTCAGTGTGTGAATCAGACTAAATAAATTCAGAAACAACTCTTTAGCATAAATACTTTAATAAAAATTCTGACTTTTCACCTTTACTAAAAACTTGCCAAATTTTGTGAAGATACACTTAATATGTTCAGAATTATAACATTGATTCTACAATCAAGAGTCCTTATATGAGCCCCATAAATCACCTTTAGAACTTCCTTGGATAAGTGTATGTCAGTGTCTTAATACATCCTCTAACTGAGAAATGGAACAGGATTTCTCATAAGATTGTTCATTGATTGATCAGAAATAAGTCATGCAAATTTGTAGATTATATATGAATGTCTTGGCAGAGCCTCACTCTCTCTCTCTCTCTTTTCTTTTTTTTTTTGCAAGTTGATTCAGTCAGATTCTGACCCTGACTTAATGATACTTGTTTCAAGTTGATGAGGTGGGCAGAGCACAGAGAGCCCATTGTGTTTGTTTGTGCATAACTACAAACAAACAGATAATTTCTAACACAAACTCTGACTTATATATGTAGATTTTTGTAACTTAAAAGTATCGCTAATTTGTGTTCATTCACTTGAGTGGGTGATTTGATTTCATTAAATGAAAACTAACTGAGCCTAAAATTCTGAGCTAATGTCAAGTGCTTCCTAAAATATATTTGTATTTTCAGCTCTGATGTACATTGGATGAAGTACAGTTCATAGATTTGCTTCTTAAATTTTTTGAACTAATTTATTATCAGATTATGTTATCAGTAAGCTTCTTAATTTATTGTTATATCAGGTTATCAGTAAGCTTCTTAATTTATTGTTATATCAGGTTATTAATAAGCTTCTTAATTTATTATTATATCAGGTTATTAATAAGCTTCTTAATTTATTATTATATTATGTTATCAACAAACTTCATAATTCATTATCAGATTATCAACAAACTTCATAATTCATTATCAGATTGTGTTATCAATAAGCTTCTTAATTCATTATTAGATTGTGTTATCAACAAACTTCATAATTTATTATCAGATTGTGTTATCAACAAACTTCATAATTCATTATCAGATTATCAACAAACTTCATAATTTATTACCAGATTGTGTATCAACAAACTTCATAATTCATTATCAGATTATGTTACCAATAAGCTTCTTAATAGAAAAACAGTAAAAGGTAAACTCCTGCATCTTCGTACTTGTGGTTTATGTATGTCAGACTACTCGCATTAAAAAACAGTATATTGGAGAAGGTCCTTTAGGAAATCACACCAATATTATGGCATTTAATTACTTTTTAAACACATAACTTAATCATGTTGTCGGTGGTGCAGACACCTCGTATTGGTCAAATATTGTTTCATGAATACTAGATTTTATGTGATTTTCATATCAAATCAATGATATACGAAGGAGTTTCAAAGTAGGGGTGCTTGGATAGACAGCGCAGATTTTTATAATGAGAGATTGAAAGTATAAGGAGCTGCTTAAAACAGAGCCAAATATCGCTCAAAATATGTTATAATTTGAAACATTTTTTTCTTCACACATTTGCTAGTTTATAAGCACAAAATTTCAATTCTTTTTACCAAATCTTTTTGTTTTATTATTATTTTTGTGCTGTTGCATAGACAAATTAGAAGCAAAATTACCAAAATATGTTGTTGTTCTTTACCCGATCTGCGTCTTACAAAATAAATGTAGAACTGCTTGCTTAAAAAAAGTAACTCAAGCTTATACTGCCCGTGAACATGAATTTACACGTACTTGTATAAGTAATTGTTAATGATTATTTAACAGATAAATCTTTCTCATCCTTTTGGTTCACAGCTTAATCAAAGTTAAGTTGTATTTTTTCTTTGTTACGAATAGGAAGTAGAATAAATTAGTCAATATCTCAAAAAAATTTTGACGAAGTTCTTTTGACATCATTCCCTATCAACAACTAAAGTTTACTGTAGACACTCTGGCTTTTCGTATTTTTCAATTTGTAAAATTTTATACGAAAAATCTTGGAAATGAATGCTAGTATATACGTATTAAGCCTTTTAGTAATTGTTGTTTTGTTTTTACAGGTGCACACTTAACGTAGTCGTTTCACCATACAATTAACTGCTGACAACTTAAGGAACGAAGAATGCACAGTCCAGCTAAGTTTTTATTATTATGTAATATCTTGATGTTTAGGTCTTTACCTGAAACTAACTGTACAGACGATGCTGGAAACTAAAGTTATCATCATGATTTATCAGATTAGGAGTGGGAGTGGCTGCTCTGTGGTTGTACTGGAAAATGATACTTTATGTAAAACAGGGACATCCTTGGAGTTTTCTACAGACCTTTAATTTGTAAAGATTCTAAAAAAGAAAGTTTGAATGAGAAAGTGCTAGCATTTTTTTTTTAAGACTTAGTTAAAAGTTTAAATGTATATACATTTATTATTTGGAAGGAGAGAGAGAGACTCTAGCTTGTAAGTTATAGATAGCACAAAAAATTTTATTTTGTCATAGTTACGTTTGGTCTGTTTTAATAAAGCATACCAACAAAAGATGAAGAGTAACCAATTCTATGTGACGACAAAACACATTTGAAAGTTTTATACATCCTAAAAGAATAATTAGGGATTGTCTCTAATTAAACATAGCATGCAGTTTGTTTTACATTTATTGATGAATAGTTACGCATTCCAAAACAACTAGAGGGCTACTAAAGAAACCTACACAACCTCACGTAATTTAACTAATCAACTCCAAATATGTATTTTAATTTCATTTAATTCAAAATGTTTTAAAACCACTCCTTTATATAAAAAAAAATGTAATTAATTTATTCTTGAATTTTAATTTTTATCAAGGATACAACATTGTATATCAAAAAATAAGCTATAGATTTTATTCATGCTAAAGTTATTTAAATTCTTATAAGCTGTTCAAAATATCTTAGTGTGAAAATCAAGCTTTTTTTATTACTCTTCCAAACAAATTTTACTTTCTATTTACAAATCTCTTGTTTTGGAGAAACAATTTATTTATTTTTTTTTACTTCTCTAATGGTTTAAACACAATCTTATAATTACGTTTCCTAGCAACAAGAAGCAAAAGATAAATTTATCTTGTTTTTGTTTTTTTTGGTAATTTGTAGATTATGTAATTATTCTACCCACTTGTATGAAATCGTTTTTGTTATCAATGTAAACTCATCCTCAGAAAAATAAAGTTTTGTGATAAACTGAAGGTTTTTTTTCAAATCTTTTTTAGCCATCCTTCAGTCTTATTGTTATATCATTAATGTCTTACAAGAATAGTGCTTTACAGAGTTAAAAAAAAACATTTTTAGATGA